GCTGGATCAAAGGGTGAACCTGTACTTATTTAATACCAGAGTAAGTTCGTCAGGAAGTAACCATGAGGTTTTTTAAAAGCATCAATAAAAAAATTGCTAAAAGCAAATCTGTCCAGAAACAGCCAGAATGGCCTCCTGGTCTCCTGATGGTTACGTTAGGTTCTTGGTTAGGTTAAAATGAAGGCTGATTTAAGTCCTGTCCCCATTGGCCCATCTTCCCAAATCATCTTCTTCTCAATAGTTTCCTTGGCCTTCTCTGGCTGATCTTTCTCCTTTTAGGTTAGGAAAGTGCAAGTCAGAGGCTGCTTCAGAGGTGACCTAAAGCCAGAGATATGGGCCACATGCACTTTTCAACCAACCAATCAACACATCTCTAACCAGCCTCTGCTTGACTGGCTGCTCTATGCTAGACACTGTGCTAGGCACAGGGATGCAAAGACAAAAAAAAGCAACAATTCTTACCCTCAGGGAGCTTACATTCTACTGGGAAGCTATGACAGGTTCACAAGCAAGTAAATAACTATTTCCACTTGGATCTCTTTGGAGAAGCTCACCACTGTGTAGTCACATTTTTTTCTAATCACAGTTAGTATTGATATAACACTTTAAAGTTTACAGAGCCCTTAGTGGAATTGTGAACTGATCCATCCATTGTAGAGAGCAATTTGGGACTATGCCCAAAGGGCTATAAAACTATGCATACCCTTTGATCCAGTAATCCCACTACCAAAGAAACTTTAAAAGAGGGGGAGGAACAAAAGGTCCTATTTGTACAAAAATATTTACAGTAGCTCTTTTTTGTGGTGGAAAAGGATTGGAAATTGAGGGGATGCCTATCAGCTGGAGAGTGGCTGAACAAATTGTAGTATACCAATATAAAGGAATACTATTGTACTGGAAGAAATTGACAAGCAGTATGATTTCAGAAAAACTTGGAAAGACTTACATGAACTGAAATAAAGTGAAGTGAGAAGAACTAGGAGAATTTTAGACACAGTAACAGCAACATTGTACAGGGATCAACTGTGAATGACTTAGTTCTTCTCAGAAATACAATGATCCAAGACAATTCCATAGGACCCATGATGAAAATGCTATCCATCTCCAGAGAACAAACTGTGGAATCTGAATGCAGACTGAAGCATGCTATTTTTCATTTTCTTTGTGTTTTGCATGTTTTTTTACCTTTTTGGTCCATGTTTTCTTTCACAACATGACTAATGTGGAAATGTCTTGCATGACTGAACATGTATAACCTACATCAAATTGCTTGCCATCTCAGGGAGGGAGGGAGAGACTTTGAAACTCAATTTTTTTAAATAAATGTTTAAAATTGTCTTACAGGTAATTGGGAAAAAATTTTAAAAAGTTTAAAGTTTACAAAGCCCTTTAAAAATATTTTCTCACTGATCCTCACAACAACCTTGGGAGGTAAGTGCTATTATGATCCCCATCTTTCAGATGAAGAAACTGAAGTAGAGACTTGCCCATGGTTACACAGCTGGTTCCATCACTTAGCACAATGCCTGGCACATGGGAGGTGATTAGCAAATGTTCACTGATGGAGGTATCTGGGGCTGGACTTAAACTCAGGTCTCCTCAATTTCTTGCTCAACACTCTGTGCACTGTGGCATCCCCTAGTTTTGTTTCAGGAGGTTATTGCAATAATGTTCAAAGATGATGACTCCAGGACAACTGCGTGAGGGGTGAAAAGGTAATGAGTGTGAGGGATGTTGTGGGAGCAGAAAAAACTAGATTTGGCAGCTGATTAGGTGTGGGGTTTGAGAAAGTGGCAGTCAAGTTGAGGAAGATTCTGGCCGAAATGATAGGGGGGATGGTAGTGCCCTGAAGGAGGAGGGGTATGGGGGAAAAGAGGAGAAGTTGTTCCAGTTTAGATACATTGAGTTCAAAATGCCAATAGGATATCCAGTTCAGGAGATCTGGTAGGCCATTGGAGGTGGGAGACTAGGGGTCAGCTGAGAGGGTAGGGCTGGATAAGTAGATCTGAGAATCACGGGCATAGAGATGACCATGGAATCCACAGGAATCAATGAGCTCCCTAAGAGAGAGTAGAAAGAAAGAGAAAAAGAGGGCCTAGAACAGAACCTTAGAGGACTCCCATACACAGGGATTGGGACATGACCCAGCAAAGGAAACTGGGAAGAAGGAGAACCAAGAAAGCACTGTCATGACGGCTTAGAGGACAGTGTGTCCAGGAAAGAGCAATGGCCAATAGGGTCAATGCTACTGAGTTTCCAAGAAGTGAGAGAGTTAAGAAAAGGTCTTTGGAGTTTGCAATAAAGAGACCAGTCATTGGTAACTTTAAAGAGACCAGTTTTATGGAGTGGTGGGAGTATAAGCCAGATTGCAAGGCACTGACAAAGTGTTGACCAAGGGTGTAGACAGCTTTTTCTGAGTTTGGCTGTGAAAGTGAGGAGAGAGATGGAACTATAGCTTGAAGGGTTGGTTCCAATTTTTTTCTTTTAAAGATGGAGAACACCTAGGCATATTTGTAGGGAATAGGGAAGAAGCCACTGAATTGAAAAAGATGTTAACTTAGAATGTGAGAAGAAACTCTTCCAAAGAGGAAGAGGAATAAATGGGGCCACCAGGGAATTTAATGAAACAAAGAAATAGGTTGGTCACGTAACAAAAGCAAGAGATGACAGGGGGCCAGCCAGGGCGTTCTCTTGGCACTCTAGTCATACATGAGAGCCAGCAAGGAAGGCCTCCCCTCAGGGAAACCCTTGGGAGAGCAGAAACAAGACTGACACAGGATGGTCAGGCAGGAGGGCTTTTAATCTGCATTACTGTAAAAACCCCCTGAATCAATAATCTCACGGACCTATCTGAAGTAGTGTATGGGGAGCGGGAGGGAAGAGATGGTGAGAAGGACAGGCTCCCAAAGGAGATAGGATGGATGGGATCATGGGTCCAAAGAGAGGGGCTCCCTTGGCTAGGAGGAGGAGGACCCCTGAAGGCTCTGAGACTGGAACCCAGGAGATACAAATGGAAGAAAATGCCCAGGTGAGTGGAAGAGGACCAGTGGGGAGGAAAAAGAGCTCCCTGCCCAGGGTCCCCTTTGCTCCCCCCCCCACATTCACACCCCTCTACTTCTGGCATTGTGCTTTGGTGGCAGAGGACAACCATTGGCTGGCTCCTGAATCTACCTGTGTTCCCTTACTACCACAGGGTGGTGACCCCAGGCTCTTGCAGGCCAAGCTAGTGGAGTGTGAGTTCTAACCAGGAAGGAAGGATCTACTGGGACAATATTGCATTCAGGACCAGCTTGGCTAAGTTTGAAGGACAAAACCAGGTTACCCAAAGTCCTCAGCATTGCCATCTCCCCAGGTGATCTAGGTCAGAGAAGGGAGAGAGTGCCTTCACCCACCAGATTAACTATTGAAGTAAGATCAGGCTGTTTGTTGCATGATCTTGGGCAAGCTACCTAATGCGTCTGCCTGGGTCCCTCCCTTTCTTCTCTGTGGGAGAGAACTGTCTGTGCCCTCCTTTCCACAGTCAAACCGGCAAAATGCTCAGAGCATCTGGAGGAGGCTCTGCAGGAGTTGGGACCTCTGCTTTGCCCTCTCTCCGTGCTCCAGCGTGGGCAGGGCCAGCAGTGGTGCTGAGAGCCGGGGATTTTCCTTTTCCATGGCTGAGAAGGACCATGCCCACCCCTGTTCACCAGAACCGAACCAAGCCTTCCTTCCCTAGGTTATGAAGATTAAGGCTGGAGAAGACACCCCTCTGTACCCCAGCTCTCCTGTTGGACTCTGAGTCCAGGGGCCAGGGACCCTAAGGACACCCAGTCCCATCACTCCCCAAGTCTGTGCCAGGCAGCTAGGAGGACTTTTCTAGTCGTCTCGGTTCCTTCCTGGTAAGCTTTCGGCTGGGGCTAGGCAGAGGCAGGGGTGCCCAGGGATCCTCTGTCTGCTGGAGCCTTGGGGCCCTGCAGCCGGGGTGCATACTCTATCTATACTACGGAGTCCCCGTTGGCTGGGTGAGTGGGTGGCCGCCAGTGAAGGTTCTCCGGGCCCAGGCTCAGTGGCCCCGGCACAGGGTCAGGGCCTCGGCTGAGCCGCTGCTGCCAAGGGCGCCCGGGGGCCAGGCCGGGGAGGATGCTCAGCCCGTTCTCTCCGTCCCGGCCCCTCCTCCCGGGCTTGGAGAGCTCCCGGGCGGGGCAGGGGTGGAAAAGCAGGAGCAGGGAGGGGAGGGGGGATTCAGGGGAGGGAGGAGGGGGCAGGGGGAGGGTGGAGGTTGGCACTGATTGGCTGACTGCGGTGCCAGTCGTCGCCGCGGTCCCGGCCGCTTCCGCCCGCTTGTGCGCTCTCTGGTTCTCCCCCTCCCCCTTCTTCTCCTCCCCCCTCCCTCATTCCCTCCTTCCTCGCTCTCTCTCCTCTCTCTCTCTCTCCCTCGCTCGCTCACGCTCGCTCCGCTCCGCGCTCAGTGAGCAGCTGCTGGGCCGGAGAACAAGGAGCGCGCGCGGGCGGGCGGCGCGAGGCTCCTGGGTCCGGTACTTGCGGGCGTCCGCCAGGGACCATGCAGCTGCGGCAGCATCACCAGCAGCAGCAGCAGCGGCAGCATCACCAGCAGCAGCGGCGGCAGCAGCGGGCACAGCAGAGGCGGCTGCTTCTCGGCGCCTAGGCGGCCCCAGCCCCGCGCTTTCCCGGGAAAGGAGCCTTGGCCACTGGGGCCGGCCGCCGGGCGGCCGTCCAGCAAAGCTTCGCCGGCCAGAGCTTCCGCGAAGGAAGGAAGGAAGAAGAAGAAGAAGCAGCGGAGGAGGAGGACGGCGAGCGGAGGACCGGTCGGGTAGCAGCCCCAGCAGCAGCCCAGGCCCCGGCTCCAGCCCCTGCAGCCGCGGCCCCGGCGGCCCCAGCCGCCCGGGAGGGACGGCCGAGCGGGCTTTCCAGGCGGAGAAGCCGGGCGCCCCCCGCCCCGCAGACGGGCCCCCACCGCCTCCCTCGTCCCAGCCCTCGCCCCGCAGCCTTGCCGGCCAGCGATGACATCAACAGGGAAAGAGGGCAGCGGGGCGCAGCACGCGCAGTATGTGGGACCCTACCGCCTGGAGAAGACGCTGGGCAAAGGACAGACAGGTGCGCGGGGCCGGCAGAGAGAGGCACGGCTGAAGGGTTGGAGGGGTGGAGGGACACACTGATGGGGGGTGGAGGGACACACTGATGGGGGGTGGGGGGAGGGCGGTGCGGCCTGCCTGCGGGGCGGGGGCGGGGGCCGGGGCCGGGGACTGAAGCCGAGACCACCGGAGCGCTGGGCGTGAGCGGGCCGGGCCGGCGGGAGGGGCTGGCGGCTGGCGCGGGGGCCTGCGTTCCCCGGGAGCGGCGCGGCGCGGCTCGGCGCGGGTGGGGGTGGGGGAGGATCCAGGCGGTGGCGGCGGCGGTGGCGGCGGCCCGTCTGTCATGACATCATGATGGAGAAGGGTGTAATCCTCCGCGATACCGGGGAGCCAGTGGGATGCGAACTGATGGACTGACCGACGGGCGGGCGGGCGGGCCCAGAGGCGGGGGCGGACTAGGTCCAGGCCTGCCCCCTCCCCCCAGCTCCGGTCCCCAGCACCGGCCCTGGAGGCGCAGAGACCGGGCTGCGGCACGGCGACGTTTCCGCAGGCTTCCCCATCTCCCGCGCCCCCCCCCCCATCTCCTCTCCTCTTCCTTCAGGTTCCCTCTCCTTCCAGGCAGGCGGCCGTCCCTGCGGCAGGAGGAACAATGGTCTGGAGGGAAAGAGGGAGCGCGGGGGTTCGTCCGTCTGTTTGTCCATCCGTCCGGCTGCACAGGGTTAGCCTGGCATGGCGAGGGGAGGAGGGGAACAGGCTGCGGGCAGGTGGGGCGCGGCCGGGCCCGGGGCCCCGAGGGAGGGCAGGCCAGGACTGCGTGGCACCCCACCCTTCGGACGGAGCGCGGACGGATGTATTTGGGCGCCCGTCGTAGCATCGCTGGGACAGGTGCAAACCTTAGCCGACCGGTCGGCTGGGCAAGGGACTGGCCCACTGCTCCGGTCCAACAGGCTGGCCCAGGCCCATTGTGCGGGATGGGGGGGGGGGGCAGCCGGGCCGGCCTGGGCTGAGCCCCCATCTGCTGGAGGCAGCCTCGCTAATAGGCGTGCCGACCCCACAGCTGCGCCCCCTGGGCCCCCAGCGGCCTCTACCACCTCCACCCAAGCAACCCTCCCCTCCCCTCGGCCAGCTGGGGTGCGAGCTGAGTCGCTGGGACAAAGATCTGGTGGGACAAAGGTGAGGCTGCCTTCCTCGCCCTTCCGAGTGTGCCTGCTCTCGCGGTGCGGTTCCCTTAGCCCCAGACCCGGCAGGTTGCCGCCATCGTCCGCTGGGCCACAAGCGGCAGGCTCGAAGCCCTGCAGGTGGCCCCTTGCCTGGGGAACTCGGCTCCTCCGTCGCTGTGCTCCTGGGGTGTTCTCTGAGAGCTGCTAAGCCAGGGTTTGGCCTTTGTGTGCGTGGGGATGCGGGGGAAGGAGGGGCCGCAGGGCCCCCTTGGGGGGCAATTAGGCTCCTGAGCAGGGCTGATTTGAGCCCCAGCCCCACCCTCAAACGGAGACGAGGGGGATGTTACCGAGCTGCCAGCTCTTTAGCTGTGGGCTCTGAGGGGAGCTGGCAGGCTTCTACTCATTTCATCCACCATCTATACAGAGCCTACTGTGACTGGAGGTCGGTGCAAGGCCTGGGAGATCTTAAAGCAGTAAGCTCCTGTCCTGGAGGAGCTCTCAGTCTGGGCGGGGTGAAAGGAGGGACCTTAGGATCTCCAGACCACTGGCCCCCATTCCTGACCAGCACTCCAGAGAGGGGCAGGCAGGTGGGCCAGAGGGAAGCAAAGGGATCTTTGCGCCGACAGAGGGTCCCTGAGGAGGTCTGGGTCAGGGTCCAGCCCCAAGCCCCAAAGGCACCTGGTCTGGCCCAGCCCATTGACCTGCCCCAGGATCCTGGGCCTGCTCAGATGCCCCGTCCTCAGCCATTTTGTTTCTTAAGGTGAAAAGCACACACCAGCTTCTCTTGCTGGTAGGCCTGCTCCTGTATTCAGCAGAGAGGCAAAGCCTGGCATTTTCCTTGGCATCTTTGACTTTCTTCCACCCTCCCAGTTAGCCAGGCTGGCAACCCCAGCATCACCTGTGGGTCTTCTCACTCATTCAGCCACTTGCTGAGGATGGTGGCCTCCACCATGTCTCCCAACTTCTCTTCATCCCAAGGCTCCAGGCCCTCACCACTCGACTATCCCAATAGCCTCCTCATTGCTTTCTCTGCCTCTCCCATCCACTCTCTACATACAGTAGCTGCTGGGGTGATCTTCCTAACACCCAGGGGTGACTTTGTTACTCCCTTGCTCAAGAGCTCCAAAGGGACCCTCTTGCTTCTGGAATCCAATGTGAAGTCTTGTTTGGCATCAAAAGCCAGCGTTGCTATTCTCTGTACAGCCCCTCTGCCTGTGCCTGGCATACCATCCCTCCTCACTTCAGTCCCCTCAGGGCTCACCAGGAGGCCTGGCCTGCTTTCAGGTAGGCTCAGTGGTCAGTGTTCCCCCATCCCCTAGTGACTCCATACACACTTCATATACATTTTGAATGTGCTCACCTAGGTACGGAGCTTTCTCCCAGTAAGATAAGTTCCTGTTTCACATGTGGTTCTTCATCTCTTGTGCCTAGTTTGGTGCCTGATAGCCTTTTACATGTGGATGGACATTTGTTTATTCAGATTGAGGAGACCCCCAGACTTCAGGGAAGAAGAGAGGAACCAGACAGCCTTTGGGGTCCCTGGCTGCAGGTTTGGTCAGCTCCAGAAAGGGGAGCAGCACCACTGAACTCCATCCATCCAGCATTCATCACCATGCTTCCCACTATATGCCAGGGTTTGGGTCAGGCCTGCAGAATAAAATGCCCAAACCAAAGCAGCCCTTACCCTCAGAGAGATTCCTTCTATCCTTGGAGTAGATCAAGAAGGCAGGAAGGATGTAGATGAGCATCTGTTTCTCTCTTCCTGTCTCTCTTCTCTTCCCCCTCTTCAATGTTCTGGGCTCAGGAGAGAGCTTTTGGGCAGCTTTGGGCCTCCCCAACTTGATTCTTTTCTGGTCCATGTACTACCTCCCAAGCTTAAAGGTTGCCCCCTCCATGCCCTGGCTTGCCCTGAGGGAATGGGAGACAGTGGTTGAGGCAGGGAGGAGAGAAGCTTTGGTCCAGTCTGAAAGCACCCCAGTGCCAGGAAGGGGAGAGGAGAGGCAGAGATAGGCCAAGGGCCTGGGAGCCAGGCACAGCCTCCCTATGGTATCCCAGCAGCTCCCTTCAGTGATCTGTTTGTTTCCTGAGAAGCCACTGAAGCTCATGAAATCAGGAGGTGCAGCAGAGCAAAGCCCCCTCCGAGAGGGAGGCTATGAAATAATCTAATTATCTTCCTGATAAAATTTTGTTCTTCCCCATCAAAGTGCTGCCAGGCGGCTGGGAAGGGGGGCTTCTCCAAGTTTCACTGAATCCCACTGTACTACAGTTAATTATAGGAGGGTTCCACTGTAATTAACAGTAATGAACAGGAAAAGATGTGCCTTGTGTTCCAATAGCATGCTGCAAGGATCATGTTTAGAAAACATCTGATTTGAACACAAAGCAGACAGACTCCTCCCTCCCCCAGCCCTTTGGGGAAGAGGACCAGCCCCAACCTTGCCTGGGCCTCAGTCTCCTCCTTTTGGGTGCCAGGAACTATAGATTTCTGCCTTTATTCTGGCTTCATTAGCCCTAAGGTCCTTAGGATTCTGATGCAATGAAGAGAATATTGAGAAGGAAGTTTGCTTGTGTGCAGCTGGGAGGGTGGGGGGCGGTGTGGAGGGGAGGGAGGGAGAGAGAGGGGAAAGGCGGATAGAGGGGAGAAAAGGGTGGAGACTACATTTGGTCCTGCTGCTTGTATTTGAAGATTTATACCCAGTGAATCACTCTGTCCATTCATCTGTCTGTCCACATATCCATCTCTCCATCTCTCTGTCTGTCTATTAGTTGGGCCCCTGGGTCTAATAGCTGCCCTGTTGATTCCCAGATAGCTTGGTCACATCACCTTTTGTCTGTCTTTAACATCAAGTGCTAGAGCACTTGTACTTTCCCAAGCTTGGTCTAGACTGGTGACCATGGTGAGGAGACAAAGACTGACCTGAAAGACCCTGTTCACTGGCCTGGCCACCAGATTTCTCTCTTAGGCTCTTCCCCAACCCACTGGGGCTGTGAGAAAGGCTTGTCTTCAGTGGTCAGAAAGCTCCAAGGAAATTACCAAGTGCAGGAGGGCAAGCTGGGCCAGGCTGGGTCCAAGCTGTACCTCCCAGGGGAGGAGGAAGAGAAGGCTAGGACTCCCATCCCCGTGTTTGCCTCAGTGGCACCCCTGAGGTGGCAGCAATCACAGGTGTGTCTGTTCTCTCCTCTGCCAGCCCTTGAAGATGGGAAATGACTTCCCTGGTGGGCCCTGAGAAGGAAATTGTGTGGGGAGCAGGGGCCCTACATGCAGTATTTATTAAGAGCATCCTATGTGTTGGCCATTGTGCTGAACTCTGGGGACCCAAATACAAGTAAAAATACAGCCCCTGCCCTTAAGGACCTAAAGGCACCCAAAGGGGAGCTGAAAGGGGTGTAGGAGAGGAAGGCACCCTTAGAGCTTGGAGCCAAGTCCAACAAGTCAGAAGAAGAGGCAAGAGGGGAATGAAGGTCGGCCAGCCTTGGCCACTCCTCAGGAGGAGCTCACCAGTGAGAGAAGAGGCTGGGACACATGGAACTTCCAGGCTAAGTTCCATGGCAGCTGAGGCATGGCAGCAAAGTGCAGACGGGAGCTAGAGGAGAGGACCTTGTTTGGCCTCTGCTGCGGCCTATTCTGTGGGGCCCAACTGAGCCTGCTCAGGCCTTATTTAGGTGGGCGAGAGACTCAGCAGAGAGCGAGGGTTCTGTGCAGGCGGCGGCCTTAAGCTCCAGCCTGGCCTTGTCCACAATGGGCCTCTTAGACAACGGGGCATAGGGAAGCTTTCAACTTGCAGAGTTCAAATCCCACGTCTTCTCACTCCCACCTGGGTGACCAAAGATCCCTCCTCCTTTCTGGGCCTTTGTCTCCTCA